AAGTATCCGCTTCCGTGTATTGATGAGTTGTTCGGGTAACTGCAAGGAGTTTTCTGGTTTTCGAATATTGATTTAGCATTATGAGTTGTAGTAAGAAAATTTGTAATGATGAACTTTTCGGCAGTGTTCACGAAGTTTATGATTGTTGTGTCCTGCGAGTATTTGGTTAAGTGTGTGATCTTTTTCATCAAAGATATCCTAGTTATTCTTGGAGCAGAGAAGAGCATGCAGAGCATTTGCCGATTGTATTGGGTAAGCTAAGAGACCATCATATGTTTAATAAGTTGAGTAAGTGTTGCGTCTGGCAGAAGAATATCAGATTTTTGGGTCACGAGGTTTCAGAAGCAAGGGTTGTTATTGATCAAGAAAAAGATTATTGCAGTTCAAGAGTGGTCATCACCTAAGAGTGCTTCTCCATAGATCAGTAGATTTGGCGGGATACTACAGGAGGATCAGCATTTTGAAGATTGACTTGAATCCAGAGTACCATAAGATTACTATAGCTGGGAAGTATGTACAGATTACAGTTTCACATATAAGATGGATAATACGAGTTGGAAATAATATTATTGGGTCGAAGAATTCACGGTAGCATTCATGAAACTTAAGGATAAATTATTTTTCGAGCACTTGGATAAGTGTGGTTGTATTCAACAACAACATCCTGAATATTGTTGGAGTAGGGGAAGTAAGATGAGCATAAGTGGATTTTGTATTAATACAAGAAGGTCAGATCATTGCATAAGCAGCGAACCAGATGTAGATTATGAATATGGAGCATTTTGGAATATAAGTTAAAGATTTTTGGAGCGATCACCAAGGTTGCCTTTTACATTGACTATGGAGTATCTGCATGGAGATGCATTGCGTGGTGGAAGGAAGTACGAATAAGCCATTGGACCTAATAGACTTACCTTGAGGATTTGTTAGAGGTGTCATTCGGAAGGAAATCTGATCAGAAAGTTTTTGGGTAGAATGCGAGTAGAGATTCACACACGAGCGGTGTCGTCGCTTACTTCAGATTAAGAGTTCAGTGGAGGAAGCTACCGAGTAGAGAATGAGTCTGAGTTATTGAGTTGCCCCGTTACAATCACCGTCATGAACAGAATTGTATTAATATTTATGTTATGGTCAGTCTGAGCATATTTTGAGGCCAAATATTCAGTGCACGATTTGGAGTTAACATCAGTTGTATCGAATTTAGAGTTTTGAGGATCATCATTGTATAGCAAGGAAGTTCAGATTCATGGGGATCATCAGAGTCTGAAATATATGGGCACATTCATTAAACTTGTACTTTAGGACGTGCAGATGGATTGAGTTGGTAGCAGTCTACAATTTGAATATAGAATGACATTTGGTGAGGCCAACCAAGTGGTAAATGTCTTAAGTAGGTACATGAGAGATATGTCAGGAACCACGGAGTATCAAGAGTTGCTGGAACGCTTACAAGCTTTAAGATTATGTGCAGTTCAGTAGAGGAGGATACAGTCGGCATTGAAGCATTGGAGCATTGGAACATACAAATTTACCTTGGAGGTTACACTAAGCTCAAGATAGCAATATGGATGTGGTTAGGTGGATCGAGGTTGAGAGTGATGTACATCATACAGTTTTGGAGCAGGTTGTTCTTGTAAGAGAATCGAGTTGGTGTGTTGGATGTTGAGCTGTTAAGAAAAAGGATCTTACAGCAAACACACCACTCGCGTCTCTATGTCCACCCGAGGAACACCCAGGATAACAAGATATGAAGTGTTACTATCATTGGAGTAGTTTGGAAAAGATTGTAGCGTTGCGTCGCAGTGTCTGATGGTTATGTTTGAAGACTGGATTCCTATCAAGTTATTGCTGAGGTTGCTTTTGCCAGAGTGGAAACGAAATCTCGGGATTGTGGATCATCACGTGTAGAAAGGATATGAGGGATTGTGGATGTATTCACTAAATCAATTATCTCCCAAATAATTTTGAAGGCAGTTGGAGCTAGCCAGTTGGCACAGAATACATCATAGAGATTGTAAGGATTTCATGGAGTTCTTGTAAGCATTGTATCGGTCGCGATGTCAATTAATGTCTACATATGGAGAGACTCTCAGAAGGCGCCTGGGGCAAAGATATATTGAGTATTACTTATCATCGAGAGACAGAGGGTCAGTTAGAGAGGATCATTCAGATTTTTGAGGTTATGTTCAGAGATCCTCTTGCAAGAGAAATGAAGTTATGGAAGTGTCTACATCTAGCAGAGTTTGCCCACAGTGTCAATTGTAATCAAGGTATTGAGATAGCGCCATATGAAGATTTTCATGATAAGCCTGGACAAAAATGGGGGAGCAACGAGTTATAGAACCATTACTGGTTCGAGAGACGGTAGGGCAAGTGGACATGCTCAAAGTTGGCTTTGGGAAAGGCTATGATCGTCAGAGAGTTATGAACATCAGAATCGTAAGGAATTGGAGTTCAGGTAGGCGATCAAGTATAACTGAAAATAAGGACACCTTGGGGAGGATATAAGAATCGGAAGCTGATGAAGCGTAAACCAAGATTATGGGATCGTATTCTATTGTGGAGCGGATTGTAAAAGTTTCTTTGGAGTTGAATTAATCAATAAGTTACCAGATTTTCAGGCTTTTGTTTTAAAGACAGTCTTGACAGAGCCAGAGTTATGTTGCAGCAATCATCAGATGACTTCAGCGAGTTTGGATACATCTTTTCAGCCAGCATGGATTGAGGATCATCAGATAAAAACATTTCAGGGAATGTCGCTAGTGTCTGTCAGAGTTGTTGAGAGAGACAGGGTTCAGAAGAAGACCTCAGAGACCAAGCAGATTGATTATTTGGAGTTTTGTTACAATGAATTTGAGCAGTCACGGATGACTCGAATTCGAGGACGAATTCCTTGTTAGTGGGGGAGAATTGTAACAACCCCAATTTCTACCTTAAGAATTGTTAGCATGCTAAACCCAAATATTGGCCTATAAATACCCAGCTTCCACCCCATTAGTTTATTTTGTTGCCAATCCAAGAGAGAGAGAGAGTTAGAGAAAGAGAGAAAGAGAGAGAGAGAGAGAGAGAGAGAGAGAGAGAGAGAGAGAGAAGAAGAAGCAATGGGAAACCTCTCAAGAATCAACCACCGGAGGTGCCACTGGAACCACCGCACGCCAGGAGCATGTCCAGCTCGTCATCACTATTCGCGGCCATAGTAACCACCAGAAATTTCAGTGAGTTAGAGTTTAGTTTCGTTCGTTTAGTAATTTGACCATAACTTCTTAACCGTTGAGAATCTCGTGCATGCAAGGCCACCACCGTATTCTACTCGTCGAGACGAAGCCGTAGACACCAAAAACACCTCAATCGGAGCTCAGATGAAGCCGCACGCGCCTCCGGAAGTTTGACTGTGCACGCGCGTGCGCTTCATGCGCCACCGCCGGGCCGCCGCTCCTCCGCAGCTGGACCGCCGTCCCTCCGCCGCCGGACCGCCGTGTTACCGCCGCCGGACCGCCGTCCCTCCGCCGGCGGACCGCCGCCGGGCCACCGTCGCCGGTGACTCAGTCAACTCGGTTGACTCGGTCAACTGGTTGGTTGACTGGTTTGACCCTGTTCAATCCGATTGCGATTTGGTTAAGGTAACCGGTGGTTAAAATCAATTGAATTTTGGTTAGGAGTAAACTGATTTGTAATTGATTTGGATCCGGTTCAATTGAAATCGAATCCGGTTAAGGAAAACCGATTGGTGCAATTCGATTTCAATTTGGTGAAGGGTTGACCGGCTTGGGTCAGAGGTGACCGGGTTTACCTTTGACTAGCGGGTTGACTTTTCCGTAGACGCCCGTTTTCGACCGTTCGAAGGTCATTCTGACTCGGAATTTCGATCTGATTTCAGATTTGGGATCTATTTGAGCAGCTGGAGTTCATAGATACCACTTTTCCCCAGTTTCTAAGGTGAGGGCTACTCCGATTTTACCCCGAACTAGTTTAGTACTATTATTATGAAAAGTCTAGTTTCGAAACATGTCCCGTCTCTATGTATCGAGTCTGTTTGAGATTCTTGCTTGTGTAGTTATCATTATTGACTGCTAAACCGGATGTAGGATAATAAAGGATTCAACGGTTGTATGAGATGATTGATGCTGAGCACTGTTATATATATATGTATATACATAGTTACTAGTAGGGGCTATGCGTGGGGCGTGAGTTCGGAGATGTCTGAGCTTCAACGCTACAATGTATTGGGCGTGAGTTCAGAGCTGTCTGAGCTTCGGCGCTACGGTGTATGGGCGTGAGTTCAGAGACGTTTGAGCTTCGACGCTACTGCGTGGGGCGTGATGCAGAGACGTTTGCATTCGACGCTAGGATGGGCGGGGTACAGAGACAAACTGTACTGGCGACTCTTCGAGTATATATATATATATATCCCTATGTGGAAATGCGTGGTGCAGAGAGTAGCTTTGTGCTATTAGCGCATTGATTGTTGTTCGGTGAGGTGTATTAGACACCGTGTTTGTTACATGCTAGAGTTAGGCCTACATAGTTGTAGTGCTATGAACTGAGTCAGTGGTTTGAGGTTTAGCATCCCATACCTCACTGAGTGACTCCCCAGTTGCTCACCCCTCTTTCTTCCCATTTCAGGTGAGACAAGCTATAAGGTGATATTTGGACGGACTTGGTGCTATTGGACTTTTTATTCGGACTTTTATTTGGGTTTGGGCGAGTGTAGTTGGGTTTTTGGATTTTTATGTTACGAGATATTATTGGTGGCCCGTTATCCCTAGAGAGAGGGAGACGGGTGGGTGTCACATTGTTATTTGAGGACACGTCGGGGGTGACACGCTGTACTCCAAGTAGGAGGTGACGGGTGTTACATTAACATTCATTCAAAAAAAAAAAAAAAGAATACTTGGAGTGACAAGATTGTTGAGCTTTTTTTGAATAACTAAAACAGGTTTACATTGTTGGTTTTGTTTCAGTTTCCAGCATCGGTTACATTGTTGTGGAAAGTGACAAGGATGCAGGGAGAGAGGGTATGCTCTGTTGGGTGATAATGAGAATGGTGAGAATGATGAGGATTCAGGGCAGGTTTCAGATCCGAAATGGATCACCATTAAAGCAGCTCTTCTGCTACTGTTGGGAGCAGCCATTGCAGCTGCATTTGCTGATCCTTTGGTGGACACAGTAAACAACTTCTCTGCAGCCACAGGGATCCCATCTTTCTTCATCTCTTTCATCGCTTTGCCTTTAGCAACCAACTCAAGTGAAGCCGTCTCTGCCATCATCTTTGCTTTCCGCAAAAAGATCAGAACAGCTTCCTTAACTTTCTCCGAGGTATGTTTATACAGTGAACTCAACCTTCTTCCTGTCTTGTTATCCTTACTGAAACCATCTTTGTTGGTGTTTTGTTTGTCACAGCTATGTGGTGGAGTGACTATGAAGAACATTCTGTGTCTCTCGGTGTTTTTAGCAATAGTCTACCTTAGAGGATTAACATGGAACTTCTCATCAGAAGTGTTGGTGATTCTCATAGTTTGTCTGGTGATGGGAGGTTTGGCTAGCTTCCGCACAACGTATCCGCTTTGGACATGTTTCATAGCATACTTGCTTTACCCGTTCTCTCTGGGTCTGGTCTATATTCTCGACTACTGGTTTGGCTGGTCATAGGTCAAAGGGTTTGTTCACATGAGTGGCTTGTTCTTGTGTGTATCCTTTTTTTTTCTTTTCTCTCTTTATGTTATGCTATGTATGTGAGAGTGTAGAAGCTAACAGTCAAAGTTCTTAGATTGTTCAGTGATGATGTGTTTAAAACACTCTTATTAAAGCTAATAATATGTGTTCTTCTCCTACTACTATTGGATATGATTTTACTATTGGAGACTCTTATTGACCACTTCTCTTGTAATCTCATTTTAGACTGTCATTAGTTTTCAAAAAGAAAACAACTGATGATTTGGTTATTTCTGCTCATGTATAAGATGAATCTGGAATTTATCTTCAACCGGAGCTTTCCGTGAGTTCCACCGTGGAGAGAGCAGTTCTTCTTGAGTTTCAGCTCCTTCGTTTTATAACCAAAATGTTTTAGAAGACTTTGTCGGATTGCCTTAAGATTGCCTTGTAAATTTATTTTGAATTGTTTTGTAAGACTTTTCTCAAATTTAGGATAGCAATCCAAAACAAGAATCAGAACAAGAATTGTTTAAAGATTTTCTGGTCGGCTTTTTGAATTGTTTTGGAAGGTTTTGTTCAAATTTAGGATAACCATCCAGAAAAATATCTTCTTAAAATTTTCTTACGTGTTTTATAGAATTGTTTTGGTTTTGATATTTTTAACAGGTTTTCGTCAGATGGTTTAAGTCAACTTGAAAATGTTCAATAACCAACATTATCTATTTATATAAAGTAAAGTTTACTTCCTCTAGGAGGGGACACGTCCAAAATTCGGTCCATTTAAACGTGCCACGTGTCTTCTATATCAAAACTCAACATTTAATTTAAGGATAAACAGAAAAACTTTGGGCTTTGTGTTAATCTTCTGAACTAGAGCCAACATCAAATAGCCCTTTAATCTTTATCTCCTTCACGCTATATCTAGGGTTCATGTTCTTCTTCGTGTACGACAATGGTGTTTCGAGAGATTAGAAGACTGAAATTGAGATGAAGAATCTCTTCGTTTGTCTCCACTCGAGTCGTCTAGCCTTCTACTCTATTCAACCGAAACCGTCTGAGTTACAGATTCAGCGCTATTATCTCCTTCTTAACTCCATACACCAACGTGAAGCATGATCTGACATTGATTGCGAGTTATCTCTCTGCAAATCGGTTTATTCTACACCTATTTAAAGGTTAGCTTTCTTAACTCGAACATCATTCACTCAATCTGTGAAAACAGTGAATCTAATATATTCTCTGTGAATTGGCTAACCAACCAGTCCTCCTTTCCAATTTGAATCTTGCGGAGAATGGGATTAAGCTTCATTCAGTGATTATGTTGGCATACATAATTAGAATTTTATAAGGAGAATGGGAAGATCGAAGAGGGAGTGGAAGCGAATTTGCTCAAGTTCGTAAAGGAGAAACGTAGGGTTAGTGTTCAAGGAACGGTCGGAGATGTAATCCGATGGGTAAGAAGCTCTTTGAGGATATGATGAAGAAAGAAACCAATCTCGACTTAGCTGCTGATGTTGGAATTGCTGCAAAGTTGCTAGACATTGCCAATAAGGCAGAGCATTGGTTTTAAATTCAGTCTGATGTTTATGTTTAGTGATCTCTTGCAAATAGTTGTGTTCATGAAAAGTCGAACAAGAGATTTGTCTTTTGAAGACTCATGTTGATATTCTGATTGATTTCACCTCTGACTTTTGTTCCAAACTCCGTGCGGTGATGAACATCTATTTTCAAATCTATTTGTCTTTGCAAATCTATTTTCGTCTTGGATACACAAAGATATTGAAAGATTGTAATGTTTAGTCCTTTACGATAGAAACATGAATCTTATGCTATACTAAGATCGTACACTCAAGAATCAACTATTAATAATATTGTTACGGTTATATTTGATATCACTGAGAAGCACAATTTTCTCATATTTGAGGACTGCAAGTTTGCAGACAGTAGTAACGCTGTCACTATGCAGTATGAAGGGTAAGTTTTCCACATTATTTCACTTATTGTTGTCCTTCATTGATATACTTTGAAATTTTCATCAAAATTTATTTGTTGTGATTTGCTTGCAGAGGCCTCTTTAAGATTAGAGTGGGCTGGTATTATAAACTCTCTCAGAATATTATCATTGATTCTTTCGTTTTCGCTTTTCTAATTACCTTCCAGTTGAAGGTTGAAGGGTTTTGCTTCATGGTGAAGATCTGCCTTTTCTAGCCAAACTAATCTCCTCTGGTACCTTTCTACAGGAGACTACACTGCAGAAGCTGTGAAAATCGCAGAATCATTATGATTTCGTGATGGCCTCATAAGATTCATCTCGGTTAGTCTAGCTTCGTAGAGATGTGGAAATGTGCTAATAGCTCCAATCAAAGATGGAACCATTAGCACAGAGACTGGAAAACAGGTTAGTTCAACTAGCTTTCAATCTAAAAATGTATCATTGTCTTTTGCTTGGATCAATGCATGTATTCCTTTTTTGCATACACTGTTTGAGCTATTGGCCAAAATTGGAAATTTCCAAGGAATGATAAACGCAGAAGTTTTGGTTCAGGCTCAGAAAAAAATATATTCATGTTTAGTTTTATGATTTATGAAAGTGGTCTCCAAACTAGCTTGAGCAGTACCTAAGTGGCAAAACCACGCTTGATGGGACCAGCCCTTTGTTGAGAACCCATTAAAAAATCTGAAGTTTTGGCGACTGTGTTTTTTTTTTTCACGTTTATGCTCTACAGGTAAAGAGTATCACATTAAGCCCACATATTCATGTTTTCCTAATTTGATTTAATGATTTTTGTAATAATGGCCACACCAGACAGTACATTTATATTATTCTTTTTAAAAGAGAGTAAAATCTAGATTACGATGTTTTTATTGTGTGAATATTATTTTTACCTGCAGTTTGTAACCGATTATAAAATGTTTGGGTTATATATATTTTTTTGGATATTTCTCTATCCCAATCATATAATATCTTCCATCCTCCCCTTTAATATTTTCATTGGACTAAATCCTAAATAACACCAGCTTCATGATCCTCTAAAGAAAAACAAATCTCTTGAATTTTTTTCTATATTCTACACATAACTACAGTATATTCACCAATTGTGACCGCACAAACTCAGAACCAATAACTAAAAAGATCAATTAGCGGAGTCCATAACACATTTTACATATACAGTGAAACATCTATAAATTAATAATGTTGGGACTACACCAAAACTAAAATTTTTATTAATTTATAGAGATTATTAATTTATCGAGATATTAATTAAACCAAAAATTTAATTTGGGACTATGAAATTATATTAATTTATAGAGATATTAATTTATAGATTATTAATTTAAAGAGGTTATACTGTACATGCAGACATACACAGACTTCAAAGTCCACAATTGTTTACGAATTATAACCAGACAACTGTTGTTCTATCTCGAATTGTCTTCTACCTCGACGAAAACAACTACCATTAATATACAAAAATTAAGTTGACCATACTGTATAAACTAAATCAAATTTTCCATAAAGTAATATATAACTATTTTAAATAAACAAAGAAATAAAGAATCAACAAAAATTCATAAATGAATGAGAAAAATTAAAGCCGACCGGCCGTTAAGATGGGAGCATCTTCAGAATTTCATGCATCTAGCTGGTAAACATGTCTGATGATTGACTGCAACAATCTCAGAGACATTGTTGCAACGAAGAACATCTTAATCAAGCTTAGCTTCTGAAGCTTTGAGACCTTTAAGAGAAACCGGCATGTTGAAAAGGTTGAGTGATGGAAGCTTTGAAGCCACAGGGACTTCATCCATAAGCTGATAAGCAAAGGAACTTCAAAGTCGGCCACATTGTCTTTGGCTGCAATGTGAGCTTCTGGTTCCATAGGGTTAGTTGAGAAACTCTGTTGGTTAGGGAAGTTTTGGTAGAGACTAACGTATCCTCTACGTTACATCATGTCGATCAAATTCCTATTCCATTAGTCTAACTCTTATCAGCGACAACTTTTTTTAGACATTCACATAATTATTACTTCCAAAAAATGATCCAACAACCAAATAATAATAACTTATAATATATAATTTTCCTCAAATAACAAATCTCATGTATATATTATTATATTTTCTTTATTTTTGCTAATTTTGTATTCTCTTAGAAATAGATAATAATGAAGGTTAGTATCATTTTAATTGAAAGCAATAATGTTGATTAAAATAACAGTATGAGCTCAGAATGCTATCTACTATTTTTTTTTGTTTATAATATTATTTTCAGTCTATAATAATTTGTATATGCCTCACAAAATTAATATAAATTAGCATAAAGCAGTTTTTATTATAAATTCCCGCCCGGAGGGCGGGCTAACCCTTGTTTACTATAAATTTTCAATACTTACTATCTTAACATTTTTCGTTTTTAAATATTAAATTTCAAGGAAGTCTTTTCTAAATATTTTACTTGTTATCCTAACAATTTTTCTTCTTTTTAAATTTTTTTTTCTGTCACAATTTCTTCTTTTTAATTAAATATTAAATTTTCAGGAAGAACTTCCTAAATATTTTACTTACTATTCTGACATTTTTATTTTTAATTAAATATTATTTTTTATAGAAACTCCTTCCTAAATATTTTACTTGTTATCTTAACATTTTACTTTTAATTAAATATTACATTTTTTGGAAACCCTTCCTAAATAATTTACATACTATCATAAATATGATATATATCTAAGCTTGTTATTCATACATGCTATCCTAACATTTTTCCTTATTAAATATAAAATTTTCAAAAAGCACTTTCTAAATATTTTACTTGTTATCTTAACATTTTAATTTGATTAAATATAAAATTTTCAGGAAGTCCTTCCTTAATTGTATGTAAATTATTAGTTGCTCAAAAACAAATTTAGGAAACTTTTCAAATTCTCATGAAAGGCTTCCCTGAATTTTTTAAAGAAATTCTATTGTTTAAAAAGACATTCTTAAAGATTGAGAAAGACAAT